GATGATGATGATGATGATGATAAATAGCAACTTAATGGTAACCATCTTAAATAGTAGCAACTTGACTACAAGCACAATGAAATTATTTAAAATAATGGGTATCATACAATAAAGGTTATACAATTCTTTATTCTTTAACTATTTGTTTAAAAAAAGTCCACTGAATTTTAGTTAAATGGTTTTTAAAATTGTCAGTCTGCTAGATGATGATGGCTTCAGCTTAGACAAAACATGTAAGGTCAATTTTCTGTATATTTTGACTTTCAATTAATATATACTTTTTAGTAAAACTTCTTAGCTTACAAAAATACTGGCTGGCACCAAACTAGTTGGGATTAAGATTTTAAAGGAAAAAAGACCCGTATGTGATATTTCCAGTTGTTAAAGGAATGAGTGTCTTACAAAGAGGTGCTCTGCTACCACGACAATACTTTGTAGTTCCCAGAACATGATTCATTTGAAAGTATTCTTGGCATATTCAGAGTTGAAAGTGTCAGTTGTTTTATTGACTTTTTCATGTCTATTGGTCCTCAAAAAGCATCTAGTTCCTCTCATGGACCTTTTTCAAAGTAGGGTCTGAGGGCATGTCCCTCCCCCTCCAGAAATTTTAATGCCACAAGACTGAATCTTGAGTCATTTTAACTACAAACGCTGCATACACACAACACAATGTACTGAATTGAAAGAAGCAAGTTTTAATACACATGTTCTAGCTATACATGCCATGAAAAAAGTGGTTAGGCCATGACCTTACTGCTTCCTATGTCCCTAATCTGAGAAAATAATTTCCTTCTTGAACACCTTGAAATTATCAGACTTCATGTTGAAAAAAAAACCCTAAAAATATATTTGGACACAACAGAATTTACCCTTGAAAACTGCCACCTACTAAATTAGATTTAAATCATTCATACTTTTTAAATGAAAGTACTAGTAAGTAGAGTACAGCAGCTACATTTCAAAAGACTGGTGTTAACTTGTACCAAATTTTTATTCTACAAGTTATATAAAATTCACCCAAAAAAGCAAAGTCTTACATTAAAAATTAAAAAACTTTTTGGACTATCTAAACTTAATAAAAAGATTAGGATAGAGTACAATATCATTACTACTCTCTGACGTGTAAAAAAAATACTGTGATTAGGCTATTAGGTATTACTAATATGTACATATTTTGTTTAAATATTTTCAAAAATATTTGTACATTATGTACATAAAAGTATTATTTTTAGGTTAATCAACATTAATTTTTTTATAATTCTTCTCATACTTAAAAACAACACACACTGAGCCTTGGAATGCTTTTAGAAGCTCTGAGAGAACATTAATATCACTATTTTGTTAACCAGCTTGAAAAGCATTACATAAAATAATAAAGTAAGTCCTTTCTAAATTTGATTCCTCAAAATTACTGATACAAATGTTCAGATGACATATGATGTAATTCGTATGACTTTTTGTGCTTCTCAAAACTTACATTGTTGCACAGTTTCAAGGTTAATAAATCTACAAAGTATTAATACTACTTGTTAGAAAAGTCATGAAGGTTTCAAGGAAACATTTCCACAAATGATCCAGTAGTTTAAACTTAACAGAAGACAGAAGAGATCACATTAACTTAACCTAACAAAAAATTTTTTAATGTTTCTCCAAAACTTACTACAGGTCGCAAAAGTTTTGTATAGGCTAGTAGTTAGTATGTCAATATAAAGATAGGAAGACCCAAGGTTTGAGCCCTGATATGCCACTGAATCTACTTCACATTTCAGCTGTGTTGATTTTATAACAATGACAGTCAATCCCACCATTCATTTAAGAGTAGCTATATTGTTAACAGAAGGCAGGTTCTGCTGACTGGTTGCCCCCCCATCCTCAGAATTTTTCTTTCCATATGGCAGGGGATGAAATTTTTCTCCTTAAACTCAATCTCCTCCCCTAGATTTTTTGGCAAGTTTCAGAATGTTATTTTTAGATGATAACTTTTGATGTAAAAAAAAAAAGCTAGGTAACCTTAAAACTGTATCATGTTAGAGATACTTCTATCAAGATATTGGGGAGTACAACCAGACCATTTTTATATAAACATGTGCCTTTAACAAAAGAAAACCCTGCTTCTGTCTGAGGGATGGCTATGCTGCATTTTGTTTTGGAATTTTGCACAAACCTACACGAGGGCCATCTGCGCCAGCCATCCTTAATTTAGCAGTGAAAGACTAGAGGGAAGGCAGCTAGTCATAACAACCATAGCCAACTCTTGGGCTACTCTTTTAGCAACAAATAGTGGGATTGACCATCACATTATAATGGCCCCCACGGCTGAAAGGGCGAGCATGTTTGGTGGGACGGGATTCGAACCCGCAGATTGCGAGTCGAGGGCCCTAACCACCTGGCTATGCCGGGCCGGATAGCCATGTTTGAACATCAGAGATCCGTGACATGGTTGTCCATGTCATGTAAGGTATTATTCAAGATAAACATTCCAAAATTCATCCTATCCTAGGAATAATGTTTCATATAAACTTACCTCAGCTTGCATTGCAGCTCTTGCTGATGCCTCTAAGTAATAAAAAGAGAAGATAAGCAGGATAAGATATCCAATAACCCAGAAAAAAACAGTATTGGATACATCTGAAATTACTTAAGTATTTTTTATTTGCACAAAGGTATACATAATGTAGTAAAAATGAGTTATGTTTGTACATATGCAAACCACCCTGTAATCAGAAAAATTAAAACCTTTTTATAATAAACTTTATCGTGATTTTATAATTATTTGTTTTAGAATGTGAAGCCATAGCCAATGTAAAATATTTTTCACATCTCAGAATATATTTCAACAGGTTTGAAATTCCAAAATTTAAACCTGGAACACAATTTCTGTACAATTATTACCAATATATATTTCCAAATAAGAACACAATTAAAACTCATAAAAAAAACTGTCATGGCTGAAAATATTTTTTCTGTTTGTTATTCTATAAATATTTGATATTCTTCTTCTTTGTAGATTTAAAACAGAACAATTAGTTATAAGTAAGTTATTCAAAATAATACTACAAAAAAAGTACACAGTTTTGTTTTTGGTTTGAATTTCGAGAAAAGCTACATGAGGGTTATCTGCGCTAGCCGCCTCTAATTTAGCAGTGAAAGACTAGAGGACTACTTTTTACTAATGAATATATTTTTTTGTCAGATCAAGTAAGCCTAATCTAAATTAATTAAATTCATTGTATGATCAATAATGATGAAGATAAGTCACTGAACTAAGTAAATTTATAACTGTCTAGAATATTTACCAGTATCAAAATCATATGACACTTTTGATGATGGTTTTACTAGAGTAAAATTCATTCACTATTACAGTCCAAGTGCTTACAAAGTTATCTCAAGAAAAAATACTGCATTTTTTCTTCACTAAAATACAAAGTAACTTTTTTACAGTAATTTTTTCAATTTCACTAATGATGAAACTAGGTCACGAGGCTTCCACCAGTACTGGATAATACAGATCCCAGTGGAAACCCTTAAAATGTTGATCTCACATATTTACTTATCCCAGTGAAAACCCTTAAAATATTGATCTCACATATTTACTTATCCCAGTTAAAACCCTTAAAATGTTGATCTCACATATTTACTACCCCAGTGAAAACCCTTAAAATATTGATCTCACAGATTTACTTACCCCAGTGAAAACCCTTAAAATATTGATCTAACATGTTTACTGATCGCAGTGAACAAATCTTGAAATGTTGATATAACATATTTACTGGTCCCAGTCCAAAACCCTTAAAATGTTGATCTGACATATTTCATGAAACTGGTACATGTATATGTTCTTGTTTAAATCATCACGAGGGGATACTAAACCCACTTTGTCAAATCACTGTAATTATATTAGTCTGAGCCAAAGTGGCGATAAAAGTTATTAAAATGAAATTAAATCAATTTTTGTCGTTTTGACTTTCTTGTTTCAATACTTTTGAAGCATTAACACTTTCTATATTACTATAGCTAGCTAGGTTACGTATATATAGATCCCTATTTGTCATTATAAAATGTTTACTATACTTGTTTGTTTCCTTTTTATTAGCTATATTTTTCTCTGCCAGCAACACCAAGCATGGGGCACATGTATGCTCGATTCAATTTTATTATTATTACTCGTCATGATCTCTACCAATCTACCCTCAAATCTAATTAAACATCCAAAGTAGCACACTGCCCATTATATATACTAGTATCCTTTTCCATACAAGAAAGGAATCACTGGGACCTCAGACAGAATAGTTCTGTGAAAGAATTAGAGCAATAAAGTTCATCATTTTTTTCTGTACACTTGTCTGGGAAAGTCACTTACTTATTTACTTAGATGAAAATCTGTTGAAATAATAAGATTTTGATTCACTCCACAAACATGTATAAAGTGATTTAGGCAGCTTTATAAGTACATTAAACTTTAGTGTTGCTCAGCCAATACTGTGAAATAGTCATTGTTAATATTCCGACATTTTGAAGGTGGTTTTAAATGAACGATTTTTATGGCCACCATTTTTTTTTCATCACAATCCCTTCTAATAGGTACTACCATACTTAGTGATATATATTACAGTTAAAGTATTCTCCCCAACTCTGAGCCTGAAAGCAAGTTTAGAATCTCAAGAATCCATATGTAAATTAGGTTTTGTTTTCATTATGTGACTGTGTATGTAAAGAATGATACTAGTTAATGTATGTGTAATGTTCATAACATTGTGTATGTTTCAATACTAATGTATGTTGAGAAGTATAACAATTTGTAAACAAATGTATAGTTTTGGTGAAAAAATAATGGGTTTGATTACATATAACTGTAATTTACATTTCAATAACAAGTTAATTTTGCCTTTTCTTGTTTGTTTTCTTATTAGTGATTATGACAATACTGAATCAAATGCATTAAAAAAACATAGATGTGAGTTAATTTTGTCCACATCAACTAAGTTCAGTGATTTAAACAAATATTTTCTCTCATGAGCATAGAGGTCAATGTAGACAGTAAAAAAAGACTGTAATAAAAAATGACTACCAAAGCAACTACACAAGGAACCCAAGTGATAAATTCCAACTAGATTTAAACTACAATTATGTTCCTCTGTAAACAGGTTATGGCCCGGCATGGTCAGGTGGTTAGGGAGCTCGACTCGCAATCTGCAGGTTCGAATCCCCATCCCACCAAACATGCTCGCCCTTTCAGCCATGGGGGCATTATAAAGAGACAGTCAATCCCACTATTCGTTGGTAAAAGAGTAGCCTAAGAGTTGGCGGTGGGCGGTGATGACTAGCTGCCTTGCCTATAGTCTTACACTGCTAAATCAGGAACAACTAGTGCAGATAGCCCTCGTGTAGTTTAGCAACAAATTAAAAAAAACAAACAAACATGACAGGTTACATTCAAAACTACAAACTAATTAATTACATGTATAGTAAGTTACCTTTGACAAACACTCTAATCACCTCTGTTGTCAGCCTCAAGGCATCTCCACTTACTAGAAGGTAAAGAAAAAAGTATAAACTAAAACAAACTGCAATCAATATTATAAGTCCTTTCTAGCTTTTGTTCTTGAAAAAAGAACTTATAAATAATGAACAATTTTGAATAGTATGAAACTATACATTCAACTGTAAAATATACTATTTCATTTCATTTCTTCATATGCAAAGGAAATTTTGTATAAATTTGACTTTTCAGTGTTTAGACTAATATAAATGATTTATTCAGTGATCTGTTTGCATTTTCTCCTAAAACCTGTTTTGTTAACTACAGGGAAAATATTAATATCCTAACATTCACTGATACGTGCCAGTACAAACCAACTGGTGTCCTACTGTTTACCGTGATGCTTTCTCACAAAACTAATTTATTCCTAAGTGAACTCGATCATCATGTTCATTGTTTTATCATACTGCTTTTAATTTCCTTTTAAGTTTATATAATCCAAGCTTTACCTATCTAATTAATCATAATCTGCTCTTTTAATAAACAAAATAATAAAACTAGAAGCAAAAAGTTCCACGTGTGATGGATTGATTGTTTATCAAGCTTAAAAACCTTACAAACCATAATGAAAAATTCCTAGAATAAGTTCTGACATGTTTGGATTTCAAAGATACTAGTGTAGCCACTAGTTACTGAGATAATTTCATAAATATAAGACAATATTTCTTTAGTGATCTATGTGAAGCTTCTACTAATTTAAGTTTTTCTGTCCATATGATAACAATGTTCTAAAATCTTGTGCAAATGTTCTTTAATACTATGATACAGAATACCCATTATATATCAAGATATCTTAGATGTTATAACTCATAATACTTAATGTCTTATGGGTATTAACTAACTCTTTGTATGTTATAATCAAGCTGGCTAAAAGATACTGAACTAGTCACCAGCAGCACAGTGAAAACTTGTATTTAGCCAATAAAAACCATTGACATTATCGTTAATCTTACTGTGACTTGCTACCTACTAACAGGTTTTGGATAAAATGAAATTATTTCATTAAATGACATTCTGACAATAGTCATTACATTACTAAAAACTTATTTTTGGTTGATGCATACGTGATCATCAGACTTACTTCGTGTCTTTTCCTTTTCTTTGAAATGAAGCTTCAATATTTCTTGAATGGTTTTCTAAAAAACAAAACAACTAAAATGTTAACATTGCTTTAACTAGTCACTGAACAAACTGAAATTACTTCTCTTTTCAATCTTTTCATTGCAAATATTAGTGAAGAAAAATTTACATTTATAAAAACAAAAATCAAAAGTTTTGGTTTCAAAGTAAAATGCCAATAACTCTGACAAATAAGAACTAGGATTATAAACTTGAATAATTTTCCTTTCAAACATCCAGTGGCTTGACTAAAAAATTATTTTCAAGCATACTGAAAACAATGTAAAAGAAAGTCAGTGAAAAATCAGCCATGAGCATCTCAATGGTAATTATCCTTTCTTTAACCCTGACGAAGACAAGTCCATTAGTTAAAATTGCCATTACCCTGAAGAAAAATGCTATAGAGTTGCATCAGAGTTTTCGCTATACGACTTACCAAACATTTTTTTGATTCTACAATGTTTCTGTTATCATGAACAGTAATTATGATACCCTTATCATTCCTTAACTTTCTCCTTTACTTTTGATTTGCTTCTCATGTCTCTTAGAACTCATTATGTCTGATTAAGCCCTGAAGAAACAATTTTTTTTATATTCCCTCTAAAGCTTGATAATAGCAAACCAACTTTTGTTTCATTTTTTGAATTGTAAAATAAAATAAAATTTCAACAAGCCCAGCATTTCTTCTTTAATGTATTTATTTTCTTTATTAATAGGCTTAATGCTGGCCTGTATTATCTTTTGATAATTGTTCCTTTTAAAATCCCAAATAGCTTAAATAATGTTTATAATCCTTCCCTGTATTTTCTCATTCAAATGGGATACCTAGTAGATGTATCTATTTTTTCTAAATGTGCTAACATTTATAAAAGACAACCCTTTTCTGATGTCAGATAATTTCTTGATATTCATCTTATTTTTAATATCTATACAAAATTTTATGAAAGAAGAGGCCTGAAATCCCCCCTTCCAGACTGCAAAAATAAACCTGTGTATAAATACCGTGAATCTATACACAATTCATTAAAGAATCATACATACTGGTCAGAAAGAGAAGAATGACCTTCATTGTATTCTCACTTCATGCTTATGAACCTAGGTCATCTATAACACTACAACAGGCTCTGCATTGAATTTATAACACGAGCAAGGTAATAGATTTGCAAATTAACAAAGAATGTGAAAGTAGGTGTTCATGCAGCGGGTCTTGTACTCCAGGCAAGTCAAGACTACCAAAGGTAACTAGCAAAAGTAATCTCCACGGCCTACCTGAAATGGAAATTGCTGGAAAAATCAAAAGATTAGCACATAGTTTCCATCAACTACATATAAATTGTTTTGGAAGATGAAAGTATCCATGAAGTCTAGTTTTAAAGCTACAATTGCATATTCTGATTATTATAAAGGAAACTTGGAAGGCTAATGATTGAATCTACAAAATATTAATACTTCTTGTTAGAAACGTCATGAAGGTTTGAAGGAAACATGGAGTTATTTTTCCACATTTCCACAAATGATCCAGTAGTTTAAACTTAAACGAAGACAGTTTGTTTGTTTGCTGGAAGTTAAGCACAAAGCTACACGATGGGCTATCTGTGCTCTGCCCACCAAGGGTATCGAAATCCAAATTCTAGCGTTGTAAGTCTGCAGACATACCGCTGAGCTACTGGGGGGCAAAAGAAGACAAAAGAGATCACATTAAACTGTAAGGACTGGATGAGAAAACAATGTATTAATGTTGTTATATGCATCTTTAAAATAATTCCAAATGATCCAGTAATCTATTATGGGAATTTCTAATCTAGTACTTTAACTTCCTGTTAACAATACAAATCTATGAAATAAATTTCATTTCTATAAGAAACCCCAAAGTATAAAACCTTTAATTAAAGGCAGAAATATTTTTAGGAAAGACTATCTGCATTACTGTAGGAAGCATTTTCGGAATGCCACAGCTAAACGATGTGACACATGATGTGTGCAAAGCATGCTACTTCTAGGACGGGTTCACCATCATTCTCTGTGATGGTAA